AAATGACTTAATTGTTCTTCACAAGACAGCTGAAATTTAAAAAAATAGTATTATTAAACAATTGAAATATAATTCAGATAATAAATCATCATATGTCCATTCAAACAATATTAATGAGGAAAATTGCAGGAAAGAAATGCCAGATTTATTATATACATTTGTTTCTTGGGTTTTAAACAATTCTAGTTTTTCCGAAGGCATTATAAAAGATTTTGATATATCTGTTATTGCTACTTGTAACGCTATTTTAAACAATTTTGAAAAAAGTTCAACCAAAACGTCCTTGAGCCTTTACATATCCTTATATGTATATCAAGCCGTAAGAAGTAAAAAACTTATTGACATGCTGTATTATTTTGGTTACGGTTGTTCTTATGACGAAATTAGGAAATTTTTAACATCTTTAGCAGGCCACACTTTAGTAAAAGGAGAAGACGGTGTTTTTATTCCTCATGGAATTACTCCAGTAAATCCAGAAGAAAAAAACTACATACATGCCAGTATAGATAATTTTGATCAAAATAAAGACACACTAGATGGTAAAGATTCGACTCACAGCTTGGCAATGGTAATGTTTCAAAAAAAAAAAGATACATTTTTAGAAGACAAGTTGGATCGCCTTTCCAAGCGGTCATTAACTAATCTAGATACTTTTGATATTCATGAAAGCAAAATTATAAATGTTTATAAAAAACCAGCTAAATGCCCTGAGCCTCTACGAGTAAGTGAAGTAATGGCAAATACCTGTTTTGATAGTGCAGCTCCTAATGTTATAACTTCGGATACTCTATGGAAAATTAAAATATACTAAAAATAGCAACAATTTTGTAAGCTGGCATGAATTTAACAACATTATTTCCGAAAATAAATTACCTGTATCGAATACTTACTACTTGCCTTTTATAAATGCACCACCTACATCATTCGACACCATTTACACTGGACTTCTAAAATTAGTAAACATAGCTGCATCGCTTAAGCAAAAGCACATAGTTGTTACGGCTGATATGGCAATCTACAGTAAAGCACAAGAAATACTTTGGAATGAACCTATTGATCTACATGGCAAAGTTACTATGAATATGGGAGGCATGCATTTTACAACCGCATTTATTGCAGCAATTAATAATATATTCGGTGATGGAGGTCTAAGTCATATATTAATTGAATCTGGAGTTTACGCGGAAGCCTCGTGTCGTCAAATGCTTCAGGGCAAACATTATTCCCGAGCTATTAGAGCCATATTATTAGTTTCAGATGCTCTAACTCGATTGTTTTATAGATCACTAATTTCTTGGGCTGAAGAAGAACATCATAAAAATATATTCAATGAAGAAATTTTAAGAAAATTGCATGTCCTGGAAGATACTATAATAAACTACCAAAATTTTGATGCAAATATATTCAATGATGTCTTAGAGTCTACAAAAGATGTTCTAGATGAATTTACACTTGCATTTATAGATGAAAGAAGTAAAAAATCGTCAAATTTTAAATTTTGGATGCAGTTCTTGGAAGTTACAGATATTTTATTGAAGTTTGTAAGGGCCGAACGGAATGCTGACTTTAAATTACATTTGACCGCAATAAAACAGTCATTACCATATCTTAAAGCAGGGGGCCGCAATAACTATGCCAAATTTGCTCCAACTTATTTATTAGACATGGCTCGTTTAAAGGATGATCATCCAGAAATTTTTCAATTTCTTGAAGAAGGTAATTTTGTTGTGCGAAGAACTGACAATAAAAAATTTAATTGTGTTGGTTCAGATATGGCACTTGAGCAAACGGTAAATAGAGACTGTAAAAGTTCAGGTGGAGTAATTGGTTTCACAAAAAATGAAGGAACCTTGACGAGGTGGCTAATTACAAGACATTTAGTTGGAGAATATGCAAGCAAAGTAGAAAGCCTTATTTTCCATAAGAATAAAATTTACACTTACGGGGCAGCAGAACGCGAACGTGATGAAAAGGATGTTGAGAAAATGGTTTCAATGATTGAAAGTACATGGATAAATCCCTTTGATTGCAGCATAACATCTAATGACCTAATTCATATTGCCACAGGAAAAATTGCTTCCCAGGAGATTAAAGAATCGTTAACAACATTTAAAGAAAAGGCGGAATTAAACAATCGGGCTTTTATCCAAAGACGGCTTACAACTGATGGACAAGAAAGTTTTTGGAAAACTGTAGCACGTAATTCAATTATTTCCTTCAGTGCCAATAATATTAGCTACAAGAAAACAGATACAAAAACTGTAATCAATCCGGAGTATATGTTTAGAAGAATTATTAGTGCTGCTCAGTTTAAAGAAATGGATTTTAAAAATATTTTATCTTACGAATTAACTCCCACCCCTGCTTCGTTATTTTATGAAGACGGCTCAATGAGGAAAACTTCAAAAAGTGAATTGGCAAAGAAATTAGAATCATTTTGTGATTTAATAACTGATCCGCCGCCAGAAATTATTGAATATTTTGTTGATGGTATGGTAGTTTTACAAGAAATTAACCAAAAATCATTTAAAACATTCGAAGAATTGGCTCAGGTTGTAACAAATACAATTTTATTCATATTTAAAAAGCACATTAACTGTCTTAGAATATCTATTATATTTGATAGATATGATTATAAAGATTCAGTTAAAGTCTATGAAAGACATAGAAGAGGTCAGCACAATGCAGGAACTTACACTATTATAGGGTCCAGAACGATATCTAATTATAAGAATTTCCTAAAGTCAACAGCAAATAAAATGGCTTTAATTAAGTTTGTATCCAATAAACTATGTGAAAAATGTCATTTGGTTCCAGAGGGTAAAAAAATAGTAATCGCTGGAGGTTTTGAAGATGGCGGTAAATGTTTTAAAGTAAGTATATAATTAGTTCCATCCATATTGTTGTAAGTACATATAGATAGTACATAATAGAGAACGTTAAAAATATTTTTTTATTTTTTTTAAGATTTCAAACCATGCTGTTTTGGAACAAACACATTTTTACAGCAATCACGAAGAAGCTGATACAAGGATTATTTTTCACATGGCATCCTCCAATAAAAATGGTAGACTGGTTGTAAAGTGTGATGACACCGATATTCTAGTATTATTAATTTATTATTATGCTACTCACGAACATTTTAATACTAAAGAAATATTCATGGAAACTGGTCACACGAATATGGCAACAAATAAAAAAAGATATATTCCTGTTCACACAATTTCGAAAAATATTGGTAAATTAGCATGTGAAGGCTTACCAAGTTTTCACAGCCTTACAGGGTGCGATACGACCAGTTCCTTATTTAAAATAGGAAAAAGGAATGCTTGGGAGGTGTACTATAAAAATTGCGATACACTTAACCTTCACAAATTTTCAGAAATGGCACCAGAAGAAGGAATAAAGTTTGCTAGAAAATTTATTTGTTTTTTATATAAAAATCAAAATTCAAAAGATTTAAACGAAATTCGGTTAAAACTTACAAATGAGAGCAGAAAACAAGCTCAGGAATTGCCCCCTACAGAAGATAGTTTTAAACTACATGTACTTAGGTAAATTTACAAAGCAAAAATTGTACGTATATTTTATTATTATGTGTCATTTTAGGTCATATTATCAAACATTTATATGGATAAATAGTCATATTGGTGAGGTAACCAAAAAAGATCCCTTTCGATATGGATGGATTTTAAATGAGGACAATTTTATGGTTCCAGAAATGATGCATCAAGATCCAGTTCCAGAAGATATACGACAAATTATCTCCTTATTTTGTAATGACAAGAACTGCAACACGCAAAAATGTCAGTGTAAAAAAGAGGGGGTATCTTGTAGCTCAAATTGCAAATGCAAAATGAATTGCATTAATATTAATCGTCACCGAGAGGAAAATACAAATGAATCTGAAGATCCTGTGGATTATACATTTTTCGATAGTTTGTTTTAATTTTGTTTGTTTGTTAAAATTTGTATTTAACAATATATTTATACCTCAATTATTTATTATTTTTGTAAAGTACTAGAATTTTTTGGAAGAAAATGAACAAATTACGATTTATCTTCACTACATAGTGCAAATATAACTAATGAAAAATTGTATTTAAAACATTACTGCGAGAGTGTGTGCAACAAGAGGTATGTCGATCGCAATGAAAAAACCCGCTTTCAATCCGGCCGCCGAGCCAGGCGCCCCCACGTTTAAAAGCCGCTATCGCTTTTATTATTAAAAATAGACCCAATATTAATCGAGACAAAATGCAGCTGATTAAATTGCGCAGTTTTTAAAACAAAAAAATATTAAATAGCTCTTTGCATAAGAAAGTTATGACAAGGTGGATTAAAAAATTATTGTCAATTTGTTGTTTTTTTTTAAATATTACCATTTTTTAATATAATTTACAACATTTTTATAAAAATAAATACATTAAAAGAAAGAAAATTGAATAAGGAATAAATAAAAAAAAAAATATTGTTCTAGCTTCTTTAGTAAAAAAGTTACGAGTGTTCAAAGTTAACAAAAAAAAAACACCTTTTTTTTTGTTTTTTTTCCTATATATTTAGTCTCGACCAATGGAGAGAGTCGTCAATTTCCATTTCCAATGTAAAAAAGCATACTTTTTCAAATAGTGAAGGTCCCATTTGGTTATACCTCGGTTTTTTTTTCTGCGTCCTAGACCGGGCTTTCCGACGGACTATTAAGCAAGATTCGGATCAATTTATAAACACTATTAAACTAAAATAAAACATTTTAAATAACACCTGTTTTTTATTTAAATAAAACATGTAAAATATATGTTTTTATTAAATACATAAATTAGTCTCAACCACACATTTTTTTGTTGTTTTTACTTCTAGTGTAAAAGTGACTATTAATTCACAGTCTTTCGAATTTATTATTTAAAGAAACCAGCTACTACAAAATATCCCATTGATGATAACTAATTTCTCTTTAATAATGGTTTTGCATTTATCAACATTTTTAATTGAATAATATTTACCTATTAAAATAGCCACAATCTGAAACCATACTTTTCCTTCATCTTTATTTTGCTCACATATTTTAGCAATGGTAGTCATGATAATTGTTATAATTTTACATTAATCACTACGTCACTAAATCACTTAAATTAAATATTTATTGTTTATTAGGATTACCTATTTCTTTTTTTATCCTATATAATTATAACTAACAATGTTGCATAATAAGCACATTTTTAATTAATTATTAATGGTTTAATGTTTAATACATTATTCGCATACAACTTTAATAACCTTTTATTAATTTATTTTGAAATTCGTCTTCTGGTATCTAATCTTAATTTTAACTGCACAAATATTAACATTAACTTTAGTTTTAATGGTATATGTTATTATATAGTTGTAAAAAAAACATCTTATCTAGTTCCAGTAATAAAAATAACAAGTGATTTGTAAGTTTAAATTATTTTATTATTCATTCATAAAATGAATTTGATAGCAATAGAAAACTTATCTGTAACTTAGAAGATATTGTTAAACAATTTGAAAATGCTTTACCAATGCGTCCAATTTCAAGTAAAGAATTTGTATGTGAATCCTAACCTAAAGATATTTTAAAGTCCTTCGTTTTTTAATTATAAATAAAATACCTTTTGAGGAGATTTCTTACCCTTTTTGGTTTTACTAGAGTGGCCAAAATTTGTACTAATATTATATTATGTAACAAATGCAGAAAGATGCTAATTTTTTGTTAAAAATCTTTTGTTTGCATTCGTGCATTCAATATATCAAAACATAGAATAACAATATTTAATTTTAACAATTAGTATCTGGGCACATAAATCTTAAAAACCAAGTCTGGAGTACGTTTAAATTATTAAGCACATTACGCAATCGGCGTCACAGCCTACGTCACAAGTTATGTGAACACTTCCTTTAAAACTATAGGGACCGTGCGTCATGCCTTTTACGCCAACTGGTGACAAAATTGAGAAATATATGGGGGGGATTTATTAAAGTTTTATATGGACCGTGTTCTGCAACAATGGTGTAACCCCCAATTTGTTTACAATTGAGATTTTTATGTAAACAAGTCTATTACTAGTAAAACGACATTCAGCGAAAATTCTGTAAGCCGCATCTGGTCTTTTAGCGACATCTGTCAACAAAGTTCTAACCCACATTCGTCTTACTTCTTATAATAGGGAAATCTACAACAACAACAACCTAAGCCCTAAGCCACAGTGTGGGTTATACCATTGTTTAAAGAACTAATAGTAGTCTCACCTTATGGAAGTTTCATTGGAGCGAAATGGATACTACCAATAGATGGCGCTAGTGAATATGGATAAGTCGATATTCGTTTGCAGTGGGCGGAGTTGAGGGTCCACCTGAAATTTTAGGGAATGACTGGGACCGATCGATGGATTTTTATTTTTAGCTCTTGGATGAAATTTCATTCACTCGTGTGATTCATTATTTGGACTATTTTCTATCTAATGTTTGTTATTGTGCGTTGTTAGTGCGTTTACATGTAATAGGTATTGTGAATGAGTTGTGTTTATGTTTTATTACTGAATTATTTTACTGTTAATAAAGGACGAGTTCCCAACAAGAGTACCTACATGATTTATATAAAAAAATTAAATTATAGTTTAAATTAGTTTTTGAAAAGTGTCAAAAATGTTTAATTCAGTAAAATGATACTGAAAAATAAAAATATTGTAGCCATTAATAATTTTTGAATTTTCAACTTTAATCAGAGATAATCTTTAGTTGTACTATGTCTCATTCTTAATGATATACATATATTATGATATAAATTAGTTAACTATTAATTAATGTTTTAAAATTAGAATTAAAAATTTGTGTATTTATAACTGTACTTAGCATAAGTAATTATAAACAACAGGTTATTTTCTTAATCTGGTGCGTAACATTGTTATTAAAAAACCCTTAAGATGGTTGGTAAATAATATAAATGAATTCTTAATATTAAAGTAAACACAATGGGTTCTATAAGGATTATTGTTTGGGGTTCGGCTCTGGGGGATAGGGCATTTAGGATTAAAATATTGAAACTAAACTTGGTATATGGATGTATTATCCTATAAAAATAAAAATCGTTTTAAAAAAATTCAGCCCTCCCCACCCCTATCTGATATGGTGAGGGTGGCATCTCCAAAAAATTAAGTTAGAACTTTTTAAATAAAACAGTTGAAGTCTACGATTTTTTATACATAGGATACCCAAAATTTCAATTTTTTTGAAAAAAAATTTTTTTTGAACTTTGAAAAAATTTCGACTTTAATCTTCATAGTTCGGATGTGAGGGCTGGCATTTAAAAATAGTTACAGACGACATAAAAATCCTATTTTTAAAATATTTTTAATTTAATTGATTTGCAACATTTTGTATAAAAATCTTACCACCACCATCCCCTAGAGGGAGATAGAGGGGTGGCATCCCTAAAAAATCAATTAGAACTTTTTAAAAAAACAATTAAAATCTACGATTTTTTATACATACAAACCCAAAATTTCATTTTTTTTTTGATAAAATTTTTCCAAAATTTTTTTTCTTGGACTTTCTGAAAAATTTGATAAAAAAATTGAAATGTTGGGTTTGTATGTATAAAAAATCGTAAACTTTAACTGTTTTGTTAAAATGATCTAACTTGATTTTTTTGGGGATGCCACCCCCACCGTATCAGATAGGGGTGGGGAGGGGTGAATTTTTTTATTGCAATTTTTATTTTTATGGGATAGTTTATCCATATACCAAGTTTGGTCTCAATATTTCGACCCTAAATGCCCTAGCCCCCAGAGCCGAACCCCAACCGGATTATTTTTGTTGGTATTTCCAATAATCCTGTTAGTTAGGTTTGGAAAATATATGTAATTTTTATGAATAATTCTTGGTGTAGGTAGATTAAAGTGATTATTCTCAGGTGGTTATTTACTGTTTTATTTAGGTCCAAGCTAAAATTTTTTTTCTCTAAATAATATAACAAACTAATTTAAAATTATTTTTTTAATTTCTTTATTATATTTAATATTATTTCTACTTTTTCTAACAATAATCAATTTAAGATATCTACTTTGATTGAGCCAAAATATTTAGTAGGGGAAGTTTTTAATATTATATAAACATACTGTGTGTGAATTTGGCTAAACACTAACCTTTATTTCTAAAAACAGAAGGACAATGTTACTTGAAAAATGTATATTTAGAATTAATATTTACCACCATCAAATCACAGACCCGAACACAATTTTTTTTTTAGCAATACGGGAGAAGCAGAAGTGACATTTTTACAAATGAAATTTATTTGAGATCATGTATAAAATTGTTCATTATTAAAGACACCTTTTATAACCACTATTGCATATTAAAAAAAAAAAACTTTAAATAAAAGTTTGTCGATATGACTGACTTTTTTTAAATATACCATAAAAACACGTATTCAGATTTCACGGAATACAACACAAATAAACTTTTTTAAATGGGATACCCTCTATGTTATTAAATTTCTGGGTATATATTTTTTTTTCTAATTTCACAAATGTATATTATTGATAACCCTATCTTATACCGTCTGTTCTCGAGTAATTTAACGTTGATAATGTAAATATGAAAAAGTTTACATTATTAAAGTAAAAGCTATGAAAATCACAACTATTATGTTTGATAATACAATAATCCACATAGGTAGTTTACAGTGAGGAAGAAAAAAATGTAAATATTTATAAGATATTCGACGATTAATTAATCATCAAAGAATAAAGATCATTCCGAAAATTGAATAAAATATATATCTATGCTATCCCTATTAAAAAATATTCATGTTAAATCCTGTGAAATATGCCCGACACTGATATGGTCATTCGATGACATTTTTACAAAATTCGGTCATTGTAAACATTATACAATAATAATTATGGCATAAAGGGAGGGTAATATATAATGAATAACCCTGTTAGGTACCTAATAATTTTCAGTAATTTACGTAGATTAAAAAAAAATGTAATTTCGTGTTTTCTTGGTGCAGACATTTTGCGACACACTGTATATTCAAATCCAAAATGATGTATTTTTATTTAACACATACCTAATACAAATGTATTAGCAAAATTTAAATACGGGCGCGATTGCCTTCAATAACTTTTACATGGCGATTATCCTACTATAGTTCTTTATACAACGGTTATATCTTTGTTGAAAAACTCTCAGTGTATGCATAAATAAAACTCAATTTCAAACACGTGTACTTTATTCATAGTTTTTGTGAGTTTTTAATTAACAAAACGCTTAAAAAGTGGTTCGTATTACAGACAAGGTATGCAAAATAAGATTATATTAAGAAGTAATGTATAAAATAGGATTAGTTTTCATATCTCGTAAAAAGCAATTTATTCAACATAACCTTCTAAAACTTTTATATTATTATTGCGAATAATTTCCGTTTGTAGACATTACTTAGTTTAATACTGGAACTGGAATGACTTGAAAAAAAATGCTGAAAAAGATTTTCAAAATATTATTAACTGGTTTAATTATAACAAACTAACTTTAAACTACGAAAAAACCAAGTACTTACCATTCGCCGCTTATTCAAATGGACTTCCAAGTATGGGACCTCTAACAGTATCTGATAAAATTAAGATTCCAGAAGCTTCGTCTATTAAATATTTAGGTATTGTCATCGATCGACATCTAAGATGGGACCTACATGTCTGCAACCTAGTCAATAAATTGAGAGGATTTATATCTAGATTTAAATACCCAAGACAATATTTAAACGTTACTCAATTAAAAATCATCTATTACGGATTAGTGCATTCGCAACTATCATATGGCATCATAGCTTGGGGTGGGGTCAGTGATTCTTATCTAGAAAAGTTAAATGTGGTACAAAAATGGATATTAAAACTTATGTATAATAAAGAGCGTTCATACTCAAGTGATCGTCTGTTTCTGGATACAGGAGTTCTAGATATAAGGCAAATATATTGTTTAACTCTCTTAACAAATATACACAAGGGTAACATAAAATTAATACAAATAGAACATACCTACAACACAAGACAACTCACTATCTCTATCCCACGCTGCAGTAAAACCATTGGACAAAGACATTGTAGCTTTATAGGTCCAAAATTATATACTTTAATTCCTGAAAATATAAAAATAATTAAAGAACACAATTTATTTAAATCTATGTTAAAAAAATGGCTATTAAACACACCCAGAAAATTGTTTTAT